TGGATTGAGTTTGGTTTGTTTTTTAAATTTTACCTTTCTAGTGTTGAATATTGCCACGGACCCAGAACCCACAGACAAAAATCCATGATTGAAGGGTCTATTAAGGTTGTCATGACAGTGAGAAATGCTCAAGGTAGTGTATCAGGATATTACAAAGTTCTTCTATGTCTTCTCATAAGTGCCCAATAGCGCTTCCCCTCCCTGCTGGAAGCCTCAACCCAAAAACATGCAGTCCAAACTCTGTGGGTTAGCAAACCCAGCTCCCTCTATTAAGCACCCCACTCCAGGAAGCCTCTGTCCAAAGGCACTCAGCTCCACTCTATGAGTCAGCAAGCCCAGCTTCCCCGATTAAGTGCCCAGAGGCATTCCACTCCAACAGCCAGCCTCCTGCACAAAAGCATTCAGCCACCCTTGTTCCGTGGGTTGTGGGTTGGAAAGCCCACCACTCTGCTTCATGCTGTGCCTCCAGGTTCTGCTGCTGCTCCTCTGCTGTCACAGCTGTCTTCTGGATCCAGGAGATTCACTGCACAGAGAGCTTAGCTTTTGCATAGCTGGATGGCATTCCAGGGAATCCTGTTCACAATTACTTACTTACACAGGAAGCCTATCCATGTCTTCCCCACCCTTCTTACCAGACCCACGTGGGAAAAAGGTCACATGCTGGGAGTTAGAGACTTTGGCTAGAAAAGCCACATTAAGTAATTCACTTCCCCTACACCTATGCTGATTCCAGGAGTTTGTCATCTCAGCCCACACACTCTACCTCTTAAGTCCTCCATTAACCAATACTAGTCAATGAGAAGCAAGTTAGACGTCTCCTCCAAAATACATTGCCCTTCCTCCTGAATTCAGCATCGACTTCCGCTCATTCCCAAACATTAGAAGGGGTTCAGGGCTGGTTAGCAGGGTTGCACCGTTGTGTTGCGAGGAAAAGCCTGGGTAAAGCAAGTCCTTCAACCCTGCCAGTTCCTGACCTTGGTTTAAATGCAGTAGCTTCATGGGCCAAAAGAATCTCCAAGCATAGAACAAACATTCAAGAATGAGTCTGAGGCCCAAACAGGGGACAGGGACCTCAGAGAGAGCTTGACCATCATCTCATTATATGGGTGAGCCCCTCACTCCCAGGTAACAAATAGATATGATGCTCACTGCCATCAGAGTCAATTCTGACTCACAGTAACCCTGTAGGACAGGGTGGAACTGCCCCTGTGGGTTTCCAAGACTAATAATTATAGTAGCTGCTATCTGGTAATAGGGAAATGCCCATGCTATGATGCACTAAAATACGCTGGACTTCCAAATGGTATTGAATCATGTGTCTGTGGTATTGGTATGCATATGAACAAAATGGAAAAGTAGTTTACAAAACTAAAAATGCTCTTCTAGTAGAGTGGGATTATGGGTGATCCCTCCCTCCTTTTAAAGCTGCCTGACAAAAAACACACTGCCAGTTAGTGGATTCCAGTTCATACGTCCCCATAGGGCAGGGCAGAATGCCTCTGTGGGTTTCTGAGACTATAACTCGAAAACCTCATTTTTCTCCCTGAAAGCAGCTGGTGGTTTCAAACTGCTGACTTTGTGGTCAGCAGCCCAGGGCATAACCACTAGACCACCAGGACCTAGCGTTGGTGTTAAATATATCTTTACAGTTTGTTTGTTTTTTAAGCGAAAGAGAGAAAAAAACGGTACAGAGGCTGAGAGCTCTGGGCCGGGAACTAAGGAATATGAATTTTCTTCTGTGTCCAACCTCACATGCCTCGTGTGCTTTTGAGAGCCTCCGTTTCTTCATCTGCACAATGGGCTAACACCAACTGGCTTCCATTCCTGCCCCATTGACAGACTGTTTATTTTATAAAGCTCTTAGCTCACAGGAAAGGGTTCGCAGGAATGCAGTCCTGGGAGAGCGAGGGTTGGGAGTGAGAGGAAAAGATAAATAGGCACTAATTAATTTGAAAAGGAAAGATTGCCCACTTTAATCGGCAGTGCGAAGTGCTGTGCCCCCAGAGATGTAAGGGCGCTCCTTGGTCATCCACGGCTTCAGTTGGAAGTGCAGCGGCTCCGGGGCCTTTGAAGCGGGAAGTCTCCATACGAACACATCAGGAGGCGGTGTGCACTCTGAATAATTCGATGCAGGAAGCGGATCTGCCCGGTGGATCGATGGTGACCAGGCGATCCCGGACATTTGGGACAGAGAGATGGACTGCCAGACAGTCTTCTTGAACTCGTGCTTTTTCTTAGCCCTTCCAGGCTAAGATTTGATTATCTCGTTTCCTGCGAAAGCTTCTTTAGTTCCTCAATCCCATTAAGTCAGTCTGCACTCCAGTGGCCGGGCGAGCCTTGTCCGCCGGGTCATCAGCTCAGGAAGAGTAAATGAGACACCAGGGCCCGGTTTCGAAAGGAACGAGTGTTGCAGCCAGGTTTGAAAGCGGTGACGGCCAACCGCCAGGAGCTTAGGAATCCATCAGACGGAAAGACAACCGTCTCAGTACCTCCTCCTGAAAGTATCTAAATGCCTGCAAAGCCTACCAAAAATTTTTTAAGAAACTTGCCCTACTGACTGTCTGGATGAAGGAATTTCCCTTCCTTTAAAAAAAAAATTAAACACCCACTTTCATATTTATTTATTCTAAGCGTGAAGCAGCCACGATAATTATGCTGTCAGATTCGTTAAGCTAATGAGGAGTCACCAGAGTAGGAGGGTTTGCATTTGTGCGATTGCTGCACTGCTGGTCTCCCCGCACCCCCCTCCTTTCTCTGGGTTGGGAGAAGAGCATGGCAGTCCAGGTCCGGATAGGAATCCTTTTGATTAACTGGTTGCTCTTCCAGCACTGTGGTGTTGCTCCTGTTCTCTCTCTCTCCCACCCACCATTCTCTCCAAGCCAAGAGGACTTCCTGTTTATTTTAGCCAGGCAACTTGATGCATCTCCGGAGCCTTTCCAGCCTAGCAAATAAGTCATTTCAAACGGAAGCAGTCCGAAGGACAGAGTGGCCCACAGCACGGAAGGCAGGAGGCGAGGTGGAGTGAGGGCGGGTTTATTTGTTCTCTTTCACTGTGAGCAGGAAGACATTTTAGACGGTGCTTCAAAGCCAGCAGCGTTTTGTGACATTGCGCAATGTTTAACATGCGGGCCAAACCCAGGTTTGTTCCGGTTGAGATCTTAGAAAAGCAGCACCCAAGTGGAAGGTGTTGTCCATGTGCGTGGGTGACACTTGGGCTCCTGCCTCTTGATCTTTTACTCGGGCAATGTGTTGCCACAGCTTAACTTTTAGCAAAAGCAAAGGAGAGGGCTGCCCAGGCTGTACACACAGTTACTGGCGCACACAGCCTCATCGCTCGGCCAGATGTGAACTGTCCAGTGTGTATCCCACAGTGTCTCAGAAATGATACATATTTTATGTCTTTAAATTAGCAGCAATCGCCCGAAAGTTCTAAGATCCCAAATCCCCAGACAAGTCCTTTACGATGCTAGTTCTGGGAGAACCTGGTCCATCGTTCTGGTGTAGGAAGTTCCCAGGAATCATGGGACTTAACAGGGGCTTTTATTAAAAATGGGAACATACAATATTTGAATAAACTAAATTAAAACACTGAGGATCAAGAAGGCAGATATATTTAATTTTTTGAAATTATTTCTGGAAGTTGCCCTTTCAAGTCTGTGTAAATGGATTGCCTAATGGAGCTGAAAGGATTTGAAACTTTCAAAACATTTTTTCCCGGCATGATGAGGATTGCCTAATGCTGCGGTGACTACAGTCTAGACTCCTTGGCATAATATTGGCTCCTTCCACCATCTAGTTCCAGCCTATTTGACCAATGTCTTGATCAACATTGCCTCATCTCTCTTGCTCTGATCATGCGAGATTACATGTGCTCGGCTCACACACTTCCCTTCCTCTATGGCTTTGCTCAGTGCTCATCCCTCAGCCCCAACTGTCCTTCCTGGAAGCCCTACCTATTGTGAGTGGAGTCAGTCATCCTCTAACACTCAAATGGCACCTTGTGTTCCTTAGGTTTGGGGATGGGACAGGGATTGTCATAATTCTTTGTGTGCGTGTCCCACAATTCTATTCCCATGTTTACCATCTTCAACACCCAGCACACTGTGTTGGCCAAGCGTTCGTTCAGTAAATCTGTATTGAATGAAATTGAACAGGAGGCACTTGACCATTATTAGGGGATTCAATGAAGTCAGGTGTCCACTCCATGCGTCAGGGTCAATTATTTGTAAAGAAAGTCTAGCTGTTGTTTGGATGCTTCTCCCAAGGTCCCATATTGCAACAGACCCAAACCACTGTGAAGCCCCCAGGACGCAATGCATTGATGTTTTCCTCTTCTCCTCCCTACAGAGGAGTCTTTGTTTACGGTTTCAGGAGTGAGACTAAAGCCAGAAATGTGTGACCTTTTGGCCTCCTACCGGAAAGGTCACCACCCAGCCCGGTTGAGCAAATGCTGGTGAAGAGAAGGAGGGCGAGCCCCAGGATCCTTCCAGGCAAGTGGTGGCCCAACAGAGCGGCTCCTTGTGGGTGGAACTGAAAAGTGATAGTGGCCAGGTGGAGAGGACATTGTCCCAGAGTCAGAGTGCGTCTGCTGCGTGCCTGGCTCTTCAGCCCCAACTCCAGGGGCAGGTGGCCTCGCTCCTCAGGCTTCTGTTTCTTGAACTGTGAAAGGAGGGTCATCCTGCACATCACCTGTTTCCGCTGCTCCCCGAGGAGTGCAAAGGCTCTGAGAGAGAGATTCCAGGGCACTGTGCAATAAAGAACTGAAATTGGCATTCGGATCTCTCACCTAGGTTGCTCTCTGGATCAGCAGAGATGACAAACATCAGTACAGGGACCGGCAGCCTGGTTTGCTCAAGGCTGAGGGATTTCTTGGGATATGAAACTTTCAGTGGTAAAACTAGGACAGTCTCGAGCAAATTAGATAATTGGTCACTTTAGTGTCCCAGAGCAGACTTGCTTCAAAGGGTCTTTGGTCCCACCCCAGAGGGGGTTTTAAAGGACCAGGAGAACCCAGTCTCTGTTGTAGGCTTTTTTCAGGCCACAACTCCTGCCCTGTTGGTCACCTCTCATTTGAGGTCAGTGCTGGGGATCAGAAGGAGCCATCACAGATATCTGAAATGCACCTGCTCTTAGGAGTGCCCTCAGTCATCCTAGGGCAGCCTAGCCTTCCGAGGTAATTCTCAGGAGGGAGGGGAGCTATGAAGGATTTCGGGAAGCTACTCTTCTCTACAAAGGGTTCTTCTGGTAGATACAGGCAGCCAATTGGGAAAACTCCAAGAATCTTCACAACACGGACACCTTCATATTCTACCAAAAAAATCCTTGGTGACATAATGGATTACATATTGGGCTGCAAACTGAAACGTCATCTGTTCAAACCCACCATCCGCTCTGAGGGAGAAAGACGAGGCTTTCTGCTCCATTTAAGATTTATAGTGTTCTACTGTTCTCAAAAGTCTCTATGTGTCAGAGTTAATTATCTGGTAATTTGTTTGATTTTTGGAGCTATTACTAGAGTTTTTTCCCATTCAGGGTCTTCTCTGCTGGGTAGAGGGGTTACTCATCTACACAGAGTTCATCTGCTGAGCCAGCTGGCTAGGCCTCTAGGCTCTCCCTGGCTTTCCCTGGCCATATCACAAACACTATAGCTAGTCCCACCAGGAGCCCTGGTGGTGTAGTGGTTACATGTTAGGCTGTGATCTACAAAGTCAGCAGTTTGAAACTAGCTGCTCAGTGGGAACAGAAAACTTCACCTTTGATAATACACCATTGTCATTACAATTGGCAATACAATAATATAGCATTTTCCAAGCAAAATAGATTTTCTAAGGAAGAGCTTTAGCTGTGTCATTGGGCCATTCAAAGCCCACTGCTTAGAAGAATAAGACACTTTTTTTCCCCTATGAAGTGAAGGATTTCCCCTCCAGAAGGTAGCAGATATCAAAGTCACAGATAGGGTGGTCTTAGTGAGTGGTGCTCAATAAGCATTATTATTATTTCCATTGTTGTTGTTAGATTGTTTTACTGAGCAGAGACAGAGAGAAGATCCCGCTTTTCTGATCTACAATCGCCTTGCACAAAGAATTGTTAGCTGCAGACATCAATTGGCCCTCATAGAAAATCAATTGACTGTGGAGTGTCAGGCTTGGGGCCTTGCCAGCAAGTGAAGAAAGGAGGGGGCAGGTTTAGCCTCCATTGGTGGGATCTCATCCTATCCCTAGGCCTTCAGTCATAACATAATTGATGTAACCCATAGGAGATGAACCACAATGGGGAAAAGCTAGAGCAATTAAAGTGTTTAATAAATGCTTTGGGATTAGCCAAATCTGGGACCGCTGGAGTTGAGAGCGGTAATCACATGGACACGTGGGGTCTGCAAATCTTTCCCACTAAATTGAATTTATGTTAAAATATTCACTTTCCAGAACAGTAAAAATGTAACTGGGGTATTAGGACTTGGTAACTAGCAGCAGTGCTTGAAAGTTGAGACAATCATTCTCTAATGTCAATGTCAGGGATAGGGGCAGTGGGCAACACAACTCTGCTGCTGTTTCCACGGTAGCATTCAAACTCACTGCCATTCAGTGAATTCTGACTCATAGCAACTCTATAGTACAGGGTGGGATTATCCCTGTGCGTTTCTGAGACTGTAAGACTGACAGGAAGAGAAAGTCCCAACAGAGCGCTCAAACTCAAACCAAGAGAAAGCTCTCTCTCAACCCAACTCCCAGGGGTGCGAGAGTAGGCTGTTCGTACATCTTCCAAGGCTTGATATGTTTTGGACAGTGGGTTGAGGCAAGTTACAACCAGAGCTCACACACACAGAGATATTTATTATTTCTAACGTTTTCTTAGTTGTCATCACCAAGGATAAGAAGCTGCTTCAGTTCTATCTCTATGTGATGTGTTGTTTTTTTATCTTGTTCATTTTTATTCATGTCTAGGGCTACTTGGCCACTGTTTCAGACCTCGTTGGCTTCAGTTTACGATGAACGCTGAAAGCTCACTGCACACTGGACCAGGGGTTTTGTGCCATCACCTGGAACCTGGAATATTTTAACCATTATGTTACAATGCAACAGTTCATCCTCCTTGAAAAAGAAGCAATGGAATGTTATTACTATCGTCATTCATATTTAGAATGAAGCATTTTGGATCTGTGATTGGGCCTCCAAATTAGACACAGATTAAGAAAACCTGAAACCAGGGCTTCTGAATAATCTCACCTATTTCCTCGTTTGAGAGATCCCTGGGCCAGAAAGCTGATTTCCCAACAGGACAGATGGGAAACTAACAATTGAAAGAATTTGGAGACAGGGCTGGTGCTTACAGAAGCTCCTCACTCCTCTGTTCACTTGCAATTTCTCCCAACAAAGGACTTCTCTGGCAAGGAGAGGATTAGTCTAAAGTTTAAAAAAGTCTCCAGGGAAGATGGTTTCTTGGATAAAGTTATCAACAAAAGAACTTGCTTAAGCCGATTTGATGTATTTTCTAGGGGGGGCGTCTCCCCTCACTACCTGGATTATCTGAACACCTTAGACCCGCCCCCACCCCCCAGCTGCGTTTTAGGAGTATAGATTGAACTGCTGGTTAGATTGGAATTTCAGGCTGTCTCCTTTTACTGAATCCTAATTGTCTGTGATGAAGATCACAAGGCGAGGAAGAAGCCAAGCCCTGATTTGATGGTGGAGATACGAATAGGTAGACAGGACCCAAGAGCTCCAAAGGTATAATCCAAACCCTGCTGCCCACCAGGCACACACGCACATGTGCACATCAGCGCAGGTGAAATGAGAGCCCGGACTCGGCCATCGTGAGCACCCCTTTCTACAATGACTCCTTCAAAAAAAAAGGTAAAAGAATCCAAGGACACTCAAATTACGTCTGGTATTACTGTCTGCCTAAAGATCATCTACTCAGGAAATGTAGTCGCCTAGAAACCAGAGACTCGTCTCTCTCTATATATATATATATCTTTAGAAGAACAAGGAAGAACTTATTAAGGGAGAATTTAAAAAGTAACCATGCACCTGAAGTCTGAGCTGGAAGAAAGAAAAACTCACAGAGTCCTAAGAAATCTATCTTATGCACTCCCTTGCTTCTTCCAAAGTAATTGACAAAACCTGCCCAAGTAGGCCTGCTGACAAGATGAAACAGGGGTGGGGGCGTGGGGGTGGATGAAGAGGAAGATGGTGTGCTGAGAGAACAGGGACCCTGCCACTCAGAGAGAAGTGATAATGGTGTAGCACAAGGTTCCGTCTTGGGCCCATCCTGCTCAAGTAAATTTATCAAGCACATGAATAAAATCAGAGAAAGTAGACAGCCTATTCATATGACTCGCTGAAGGAAGAACTGTTATTAACATTTCCGTTGTGCAATACAGGAGCTGCAGCTCAGAGACGTTCACTCCTCCATGGAAGTAAGCCAGAGCGAAGGTCCTGGTCTGGTTGGTTCCAGTGGCTGTGAACTTGGCAGTCACACGTGCTGTCTGAGTGATCTAGTACAGCGGCTCCAACGAAGACCACAAGGGACTGGCTTTCACGAGCAGAAACGTATTCGCCCATCATTCAGGAGGCTGGACGTCCCAATGCAGGGCGCCAGTTCTGGAGGAAGGCTTCCTTTCTCTCCCTCAGCTCTAGAGGAAGGCCCTTCCTTGCCTCCTTTCAACATCTGAAGCCCAGCATCCCACGGAGATCCCCGTGTGTCTTGGCATCGATCCTCCCCTGGGTATGAAGAGGTTGTCCAGGGGCTTGGGGTCCAAAGATGCGCTCCACTTCTGGCTCTGTTTATTGCTTGGTGGTACTGAGGTTTTCCTCTCCGCTAGTTTCTCCTCCTTTTGTCTCTTGTAAGATGAAAGGCCTGTACCACAGAGGCACTCCTCCTGCCCCCAACCGTAGATCAGGGCTAGCACCTGACTACTGTCGCACAAATCCTGCCTCATTAACATAACCTCCTTCTGCTTCATGAAGACATACAAGGATGTCCAGAACATCGCAGACTGGAGGGTGACTATACACTATTGGGAAGTATGACCTAATCAGGGTGACACATGTTTTAGGAGGATAGGATTTAATCCAAGATACATGCCGATCACATTTGTAGCACACAGAAGCCTTGAAGAAGGAGCTGCTGCATGTCATGGGTCATTATTCAAACAACTAAAACCTTACTAAAAGCTAAGGAGCCATGAGCCAATATGGCATCTCTTTCTGTCAAATTTCATCTGATTTAAAGTCTTACACTCTAGAGCTTAAAATGTCAACAGCAGAAGCAAGGCTGCAGTTTAGTGGAAATTGATGGTACTTCTAATTATAATACAAATTAACATGATCTAGCTGCCACACACACCCCCCTCCGTGCAAGCCAGCACTAATACTTTAGGCTACATCAATGAAAGAATTAGATGGTGCCCCAGAGACAGGAAATGAAGAGTTTTCTCTACTGATCACACTATCTAAACTCTGAGGTTGCTCA